CTTTTCATCCATCCATACCTCCATTTATTTATTATCCAGCGCAGACTCCTTCTCTCTGCGCGCGCGTCTCTTGCGTCACATTCGGCCTTCTTCACTCGTTTCTCGGGGCTCTCGCTTCATAATTTGCATCTTGAAGCCTGGGAATTTTTGTTCCCACTCAGCCCAATTTCAGTGCCTCATCTTGCCATCTTAGTTATAAGTTGAATCACCTTGACGGTTTACTCTATTTTGGGTCCCACTTGAACTTAGGAGACCTTGATGGCATCCAACATTAATCCTAACGAGACCGTCCATAACTAACTTCACCTCTCTGACTCTCACCTGTCTCGTAAAACCGGATAATATCGAGGGACTCAACAATGACCGGTCCCTCGGACCCCAAGGCCTCCCTGGAGGTTCCCTCCTCCGTCCGGCCCCAGCGCTCAGGCACATCTCTCAACCACCAGGCACCTCACCTACAGCCCGCAAGCCTCACCGAATCCAATGAGGACGAAAAAACCGAGTTCCCCCCTCTGGACCCGAGCGCATTCATCAGCCAGGGTCGGGGATCCGCAGAATTCTCGCCCACAGCCCGCGCAGATGCCAACCGTATCGTGGACGACCTCGAGCTCCTGCGGGCCGAGCGCCTCATCTCCAACCAGGAGCACGAGGAGAACGTGAGCAAGTTCCGGTCGCGGCGCCACATGACCGAGGTCGAGGACACCTTCAACCCGCCCATCCTCGAGGAGACCAAGGCGATCAAGAAGCGGGATGAGAATGCCGCCCTGTATAAGTTCTGGGCCTTTCTCAGAAAGTTCCCCCGGTTCATTCGATATCTGTTCTATCTCTTCCCCGGCGCTGCGCTTCTCCTCATCCCCATCTTGCTTGGACACTTCGCCATCGACCAGAACAAGCACCCCATTGGAGGGACTGGGGGCACACAGCTGATGTGGTTTGGTATCTGGCTGGAGATCGTCTGGGGTTCTCTCTGGGTGTCGCGGATGCTTACTAGTCTCATGCCCAACCTGTTTCTTGTGATTGCACGTGCTACTGGCTCTATCAATGCCAAGAAGTGGAAAGATATCGGCAAGGAGATGGAGCTGCACACGGCCGTCTTCCTCTGGATGCTAGCTGTACTCATCGCGTTCAAGCCGTGTTGCGACGGCCACCGCGTCCCGGTCCCCGAAGGTCAGGAGCAGGACGTGGACGTGAGGTGGATCGACATTGTCTTCAAGGTCATCATTGCAATCTTCGTCCTCGCCGCGCTCAACTTCGTCGAGAAGATTGGGATCCAGTGGATCGCCACCGAGTTCCATGAGCGGACGTACGCCACGAGAATCGAGAACAACAAGGGCGACATCCGACAGCTGGTCTGTCTCTTCGAGTACGCCAAGGACCAGCTCCACGAGACGGATTCGTTCTGGCACAGCAGCCGGGACAACACCACAGTGTCGTCGACGCCTATGCGCGCCATTCACGAGAACGCCCAAAAGGTCCTGGGCAAGGTGGGACAGGTCGCTGGTAGGGTCGGGAATGACCTCCTCGGTCGAAAGGTGGACACCAACCACCCCCGGAAGGTGGTCGGTGAGCTCCTCCGCACCACGAGTTCATGCCATACACTGGCACGCCTCATGTATCGCAGTTTGGTGCGACCTGATCAGGAGATGGTGTACATGGAGGATGTCCAGAAAGCGTTCGGCACTGAAGAGGAGGCCGAGGCCGCCTTCAACGTCTTCGACAAGGATCTGAACAACGACATCTCGCTTGATGAGTTTGAAGCTGTGACGAGCGAGATTGGAATGGAGAAGAAGGCCATCGCGGCCTCGCTCAAGGATCTTGACTCGGTCATCAAGAAACTCGACAAGGTATTCCTCTTCATCATCTGCATCATCACCATCATCGTCTTCATTTCCATCATCTCCGGATCTGCTGCAGCTGGTCTCGCATCGGCTGGAAGTTCTGTCCTCGGTCTGGCATGGGTGCTTCAGGCAACAGCTCAGGAGTTTCTCCAGTCCATCATCTTCGTGTTTGTCAAGCACCCTTTCGATGTCGGTGACCGTGTGACGATCTACGGCTCGACGGGCGCGAACATGACCGGTGACGACTACTACGTGACCGAAATCTCACTCCTCTACACCGAGTTCAAGAAGCTCCAGGGCCACGTTGTGCAGGCCCCCAACTCGTTGCTCAACACCCTGTTCATCCTCAACCAGCGTCGATCCAACGGACTAGCCGACCCGATTACTCTCCAAATGCGATTCGGAACCCCCTCCTGGCAGATCGACGAGCTCAAGGCCCGCATGCTCAAGTTCGTGGTCGAGAACAAGCGAGAGTTCCAGCCCACCATCCTGGCCGAGCTGTCCGCCATCGAAGACATGCGGTCCGCCACCTGGACCATCGTCTTCATCCACAAGAGCAACTACCAGAACGAGGTCGCCCGCCTGCAGCGCCACAACAAGTTCATGGTCGAGCTGATGCACCAGCTGGACGACATCGGCATCCAGTCCCCGTTCCGCATCGACCCCGGCGGCAGCAAAGACCATCCCCTGCACTGGACCGGCGCCCAGCCTCCCCCATCCTACTCCACGACCGAGCAGTCCGCCCCCGCGGCGGCGGCCCCGGGCCCCTCCGCCTCCTCAGCCAGCTCCCTGCCTCGACGGCCCTCCGTCAGCGGCGCCAACTCGAGCAACGCGGTCGTGTCGCAGATCGGCCCGGGGGACATCGGCTTCTCCAACATGCAAGACGTGTTCGAGAACCGCAAGGAGCACTTCCTCGCCAACCGCCTCGCGTCCATCAGGGAGAAGGACCGCGCCGAGAAGGCCGCGGCGCAGGAGGCCTCGTCGGACTCGGAGCCGCACCTCGCGAGGGCCAATACGTCGAGCGTCGCGGCCGCGTCCCTCTCCTCGCAGACCCGAAATCGATTCTTCTCGCGCGCGCGCAGCTCCTCGAGATCGCGGCAGAACGTGCCGCCGCCCGCCCGGCCTCGTCAGGGCAGCGACATCGTGTGAGGGGACTTATGAAAGAAACGCATTTAGATTACGAACGTCCACGTCTTGTTTTTTTTCCGCTTCTGCTTGTTTAATTCGTTTGAGTGTTTAGCCATACACTTTCCTTAAATTTTCAAGGGCATTTTTGATGATTCTTTTTTGTTGTATAGAGTGAGGGGTCCATGCGCACAAGAGCTATTCGCATGGTGATGGAGCATGGGCCGGTTAGGTGATAAAAGATACCTTACATACATGGATTTATTAGGTAGTACAGAATGGAGAGAGGTCTTGGCGTGCTGTATGGTAAGCTGACGGGCTGCATGCCAGCACGTCCGCCCATCAGCCAACTCGAGCCAGCTAGCCTTTCTGATCACCTCACGTTGAGGTATTGTTGTACAATTTCCCAGCATCGACGACCTGAAAACGAGGATCAGATCCCTTAAAGCTGTGAGCCTGCCCACGTATTCCACTGGATCCGTTTCGTGCACGCTCTCAAAGGGGCAGTGTCATGGCGGACTAGACCCCAATCTGTTGCACAAACCAGGATGTCAAGCTTCGATTGAGCTTGTAGTTGCTCTGCAAGTGCCGGCTGACGTAAATCGTTGCCAAGAAGAGCCTCCAAGTGGGTGACAGAAGAAATGAGACACTAGATTGAAGGGTGGTTATAAGCAAATCACTTTCTATGGATGATAAAACTCATCGGGCAGGATAAAATGATACAAATTAGTAATGTTTAGTGTATTGTCCCTTAGATGTTTATTCTTAGCCCTTATTAATCTGATAATACCGTTCACAGACTCGAGAATAGACCGTCTAACATTCCCAGTGTCTCAAATCTGGTGTCACCTAGCTGGCGGGTTAGGTTAGGCTGTAGTAAAACCGCGCCGCTGATGGGATCTGACATGGCCCTCCCTGCCAGCTGAGACTCAGAGGTTCGTTTCTGAGTCGTCCGGGGCTTGGGCGCGCGTGTTTCTGGGGCACTCTGGCCACGTTCCACGTTTCCTTGGGTCATGCTGCCTCCATTGGCGAGCGCCGTGCCGTTGGGTACCATTTGACCACTGCGGAATGCAGCCGCGAACACTGCCACTTCACAGACGAATATTCCTGGATCCATCCATCCATCCTTCGATTGCGGGAGGCGCTGGCTACGGCGCGGATCGTGGCATGGAAACGCGCCTGCCAGCAAATTACAGCATCTCGTTTCTCACGGGTGGGGGTCATCGGCGACCAGAATCAACACCATTCCATTCCATTGTTTACCGTGTAGGCCCTTGAATTCAATTGCCTGGCCAGCACTACTGCTGAGTAGCGGGCAGACTGGCAGGCGCTTTTCGGCTTCTGGGGCAGGCTTATTTTTAGGGGCCAATCGAGGCCCAATGCTGGACCTCAGCCGCATTAGCATTGACCATCCATGTGCCAGCAATTGTTGGGGGACCGTTCCCGACGCCCAGAATGAGGAGCTGCGGCGGGCTGAGCTAGTGGGAAATAGTTGGTCGGGGTCCAGTTCAGCTAGTCGCCCAAAACACTAATAGTCGGTAGCCTGATCGACTCGACCGTTTCTCCCTTCCCTCTCCTCCTCCTGCTTGGCCATCTGGGTCTGCTTTGGCGATGCGAACCGTCTCGTCCTGACCTACCCTCTCTCCCAGAGCCTCCGCACTCGCACTCGCAGGACCCGGTCGCTCCCCTCTCGGTCTAGCCCTCCCGACCCCGCGGTATTGGTCGTATACAAGTCAGAGTACGAGCGAGAGCGGCAGTGGCGTCCCTTTTTGATGCAAAAGAGGAGGATGGGTGTAGTCGGGTTGCGCTAAAGGAGTGCCGGGACTTTTTTTTCGTCTCGTTTCTTTCTTCTATTTCTCTTCAACTGTGTCGCCAGCTCGTCTCGGCTCCAATCGAAGACTGCTGGATCGACGACCAAGACACCACCAACCGAATACAAATCTACCCCCTGCCAACGATCCACCTCCCCTCACCTAAGACGAGCCGAGCCGACGTGGGAAAAGTAATTGAATCATAAATTCGGGAGCACCAGGCACCATGGCTGGCCTCCCACCCGGCTGGGAGTGGGACTTCGACGGCCAGCGCTGGTTCTACACTTATAAGCCCACCGGCCACATCCAGTACCACTTCCCCAAAGAGGGCGACGAGTTCCCCGACTTCGTCGACGCGGGCGCCCCGGCCCCATCCCTCGCACCAGAGGAGCTTCTGGCGTCGCAGCAGCAGGTGAAGCGGCAGACGAGCACCGGCAGCGGTACCGGCCGACCCAGCAAGGCCCGCGTTTCGGCAACGGCCACCCGCCCCGTCAGCAGCGTGTGGGAAGAGGCGTCGGGCGAGGATGTGATATTTCAGCCAGAGAGCCTGATGTACTTGGGCCCGGGGACGTACAACGATGTAAGTCCATTGGCCGAGGAGGAGGACGAGGCCGCGAGGAGGGTCATCACCGGGGCGCTGGCAGAGGCGGATGGGACGCCGACGCCAGGCTCCAAGGGGCCCAGCCCGATTGCGAGCCAGGGAGCAACACCGGCGACCAGGAAGAGCGACGTGGAACCTCCAAAGACGGACAGCGCGGTTCACATTATTGATGCGGGGCCGGTGATCGAGGTACAGTCCGGGATCGAGGCGGAGCAGGCCGTGCCCATGCTTGATAGCCGGGAGATGCCCCACGAGCTCCCCGTCGAGGTTTTCAACCCCGTGGGTGTGATTGCCGAGATGGCGACCGAGATGACCCAGAGAGCACAAATCGAGACGAACCCGCCGCCGGTCGAGATTGCTGATAACTCGATACTCGCTCCGATTGAGACGGTTCAGCTCCCCCAAGGGTATTCGGAGCTGCCTGGGCAGACGAGCCCGGTCGAGGATAAGAAGAAGCCTAATGAGCCTGGTGGTATAAGTATTGAGATACCCAAGTCTAAAGGAGCTGGGACACCACCCGTTCAGGTTCAGCAACAACCCCCTCCTCCTCAGCAGCAGCAGAAACAGCAGGAAGTCTCTCCACCACAACCTCCATTGGAGTCTCCACCAGTCGACAAGCAGCCGGAAGGCCCAAGCAGCAAGTACCAGGCATTCTCGCCAGCGCGTGGCTCTACAGAGGCAACTGAGAAGATGGAAAACACTAGGCGGTCATCCATGGCTCTGGACCCTCGGCGGATATCTATACAGCGCGAGCCCTCGCTCCTGATGGGACTCGGGAAAAACGACAACAAGATGGACCCATCTTTGGTGCCTGCAGCTCTTTCTCTGAGCAAACCGACTGGCCCTTCACCAGAGAGATCGCCCCCATTTCAGCCAGTTTCCGGTGCCGTGGCCGAATCGATAGATGTGGCCAAACCAGGCGATAATTCTCCTGGCATTTCACCCGCACCGTCTGTGTTAAGGCCCGCGAGAAATGGGGATGGTCGGAAGCTGAGCGACAGCACTAATCCAACCTCACCCAATGATGATGAGTTTGAGAGCACAATGCAGCTGGCACTTGGCGACAAGCCAGGTGTGAGCAAGTTTCCATCTGTTCTCAAGCCCGCTCGTGGCAGGGCACCTTCATTGCCGGGCAAGGCGGCATCCAATTCCCAAAACGGATCTCGCAACCAATCTCCAGCCCAAACTCCGCCGAGGAGGAGCTACGAACAAGACGAGGCCGCCCCCAAGGAGAAGAAGTACTTGCCATACACCGGGGTCAGTTCAGGATATCGGATGAGTTATGTTCCACCGCCTCCTGGGCCCCCCGGACAGCCGCCTCCACAGTTTGGAGCTTCACCTCCTCCCACAGGACTGCAACAGCAACCACCGCAGAACCCAGGAGTATTCCACCAGGGACACGGTCCGATCCAGCACCAGCCTGGTTTCCCGCAAGGTGTTATCCCTCCCCATATGACGAACATGCCTCGCCCAGCATCGACACCGGTAGGCCCTATGCAACCGCCGGCGGGCGCACCTCCGATGCAGCCTCAGCAATGGCCCAGCAACTATCCCCATGCGGCCCCTCCGCAAGGCCCGCCACGAACCGTAGCCTCGAGACGCTCTATGAGCATTGGGGCGGCTGCCGAGGTTTCGCCTATACAACAATCGGAAACGCAGTCGCCTCAAATTCCCATGCAGACGCCTTCACCACTGGAGCATATGCGTCGAGTCTCCTCTGTCTCACTTGCAGGTAGTGATGGAGCTGCAATATTTACGCCATCTCCGGATACCGGGTCTTCAGCCGCGCAAAGCCAGCCAGGAACTCGACCCCCTTCAGGCCTGAGGAATTTCTCCAGTCCTCCGCAGGATGGGGCTCCTCAGTCCGGTCCTCCTCGCCCAGGCAAGGTGCCTATCGACCAGGGATCTTATTTCCCACCTCAGCCCACAGCAAGAGAAAACTTCCAGCCTCAGCCACCATCTAAGAGGATGTCGATGCCCCCAGGCTACAGTATCGACGACAGCGGGTTAGATTGGACGCAAGGGGCCGGCAAGGCTCCTGTGCAGCCATCGCCTCCTGTCCCCGCCAAGGTGCCAGAAAACCCAACGCAGGGCTTACATAGATCGCACTCTGTTGGCTCGTCTTCGGCACCTAATGTACAACCGCCACGACGACTTGAGCCTGGGAGGATGGGGCCTGTGCAACCGCATGGTGCCGGGTTTGTCCTGTCAATGATCGAGGAACACCATGAGCCACCACCCTCCCGACATGGCCCACCAGGGAACCCAAACACTCTGCAGCAGCGACGTGAAGGCTTTAGGACTGCTCCGGTCTATGATCTGGGACCGAGCCAGCCGCCTCCACCGATGGCTCCCCCGGCTGGACTGCCTCCTTACCCTCTGTCACCGCCACAGCAATATCAGCAACCAGTCCGTCAAGCTCCTTACCCGGTTGATAACGTCCCCCCCGTCGTGGACAGAGTGGTAGTCCCGCCACATCCTTCAGCAACTCCCCCAGCACAGCTACCGCCTCCCAGGCAGATGTCACCCTTGGGCCAAGGCCTTCCTAGTAGACATGGGTCTTTGAGACGCCATGGCTTGCCACAGGCTCAGATGCAAGCTGTGCCGAATCAGGCTCCGCTTCAAAGACACTCCTCGCTGCGAGAGTCGGGTTCTCAATCGAGTCATGTGGTGGCGCCAGTCCAGCCTTTCTCGACTCATCAGGGTCCAGCTCATGATCAGCCTCCCGTCACCCACTCCTCACCTCACGCTCAAGGCTTCCAACGGCAGGGATCTCTCCGCGGGTCAAAACCGCCACGGCAATCTCAACCCGCACCTCATCACCTTCCTCCCAATGCGCCTCATGGCAGACCTCAGACGCCTCCAGAGTCACCACAAGCACAGGGCCAGATGCCACAAGTGTCACCTCTGAACCTCGGAAACCCTCAACAAGGACCGATGCCCCCCCACGAGCAGAAACCTCTTCAAGGGCAAGTGCCTCACGGCCAGGCGCCTCCTCACTCGAGGATGCCGCCCCAAGGGCAAATGCTTCCGCCGCAAGGATACCCCACGCAAGGCAAAGCCCAACCCCAAGGTCAACTGCCCCCACAAGCACTAACACCTCAAAATCAGCAACCCCATCGTGGGCAGGCTCCTCAGGGACAGATGCTCCCGCCGGGGCATATACCTCCTCATGAACAGATGGCTCAGATGCATATTTCTCCCCAAGGACATCCTCCCCAAGGACATCCTGGCCAACCACCCTTTGGGGCGCCGACCTCGGCTCACGCCCAGTTTTATTCCCCAGGACAGGTTCACCCTTCGCATGCTCGCACGGGATCGAACCCGAATATTTTCATGTCACCGGGCGGGCAGGCATCAGGCTTTTCGCCCAACCCTCAACAAGGAAGTCCTGTATTTCAGCCATCAAAGGGCCGGCCTGGCGCGAATTCGCCACAGCCAGGGCAAGGTCCCTCCCCCAAGGAGAAAGATAGAAAGTGGACAAAGTGGTTCAAGAGTTCAAAGTCGGGACCGCAAATCAAGCATATGCACATCCAGCATATTCCAAACCCTCCAGGACCGCAATCACAGGGTTTGCAGAGCCCCCTGAACTTCGGGCCCAGCCCTAACCAGTTTGCGCAGGCTTCGGGCTACCAACCAGGCAATGTCCCGGTCATAAAGCAAGATTATCTGCCCTCGCAGCCTACCGCCGCTCCACTCTTAACACCGTCTGCTTCTCCGAGCACCAACACGATGGCGTCCAACAGAGCCTCGACAGACTCTCAGGTCCCGCAGAAGTCTCCCTCGCTAGCCCCTCAAGGTCACCAGCATGGGAGGCAGAGCCCTTCGTTTCAGCTGCACCCTGGGACACCTCTGGGCTCTCACCCACCGAACGGTCCCGGCTACAGGAGCCCTGAGTTGCGGCCCAAGGACAGCACCGGCTCACCAAAGTCATCGATCGCCAGCCTGCCATCATCGCAGCGAGCAGAGCCACCCCAGGCCGAAGCAACCACCCTCCCTGCTCCTGTTTTGCCTGTTCCTGCACCTTCGGTTCCTGCACAGACTGCTCCAGCACCCGGTGCCCCCAGCGCGCCTGCTCCCAGTGTACGTGCTCCGATAATGTCTACTCAAGGCGTGCCTGCTCCGAAAGCATCCACTCCTAGCATCCCTACTCAGATACTATCTGCTCCTACGGTATACGCCCCAACGGCGCCGGCTCCTCTAACACCACAGCCATTGGCCCGTAGCGCCAAACGGGACTCCGGGCCCCTTGCCCCAGGCCCAAAAAGCGCTCCTCTTCCGGGCGCTCAAACAGCTTCGGGCGAAAAGAAAGACAAGTGGACAAAGACTCCCGCTGTGGATTATACGGGAGATGACTGGGGGAGCGAAGATGAGTGGAATTAAAGCCAGGCCATACATATACTGCCGGCCTTTGTATAGTGGTTTTCTTTAAACTTACGTAGCATATACCCTTTAGCGATGCATTCACATTTGTACCGTAATCTTTGATACGGGCTAGGATAGGGAGAATAACGAGAATGAACTCATATTTAGTTTTAAATACTTTTGTTCCAATGTCCAGTAGCACGGCCCGCTACAATATTACCTTTGTTCCGAAGTGTTGCGGGTTAAATGGGTGCTATTCAGGTCACGTGTTTTCGTGTAGTTCAGCGCGTAGTTGGAGATGGGTCAATTGAGGTGGTGCCAACGGAGAGTTTGCACTTTTGGGTTTTGGTCTATTCTTCATTTCTCTCGCAAGTCAAGACCTAAGCTTTTTTGGATTGCTCTCTCCCATCTCTTCACCCACTATGCACCCTAAACAATGACATCCGCGAGTTCGGAATCGCAGGCCCAGGTGGCTGTGCTAGGCCCGGAGGAGACCCAGGACAGCCAGGCCCTCTACGAGGCCTACAAGATAGAATTGGGTGTCGGAACGGTGTGTCCTAAAAAGCAAATAGCCGCCCCGGCTTACGTCGTCGACTAACCTGTGTGTGCGCGCAAACCAGTTCAGCGACTCGTCCCTACCCGACCTACAAACGCGGCCCGTTGCGCCTTCGAGTAACAGGTCACTTAGCCACGACAGCGTGCTGAAACGCGACCGGTGTCCGCCTGGCGCTGTGGTTGGGTCTGCAGGTGCTGATCAGTCGGTGACACGCTCGCGAAGCTTGGTTGGTCCAGTCCACATAAAAACACCAGACTCGACAGGGATGATGCTAAACAAATGGAAAAAGCAAACATGCACCGCCGCCCCCAACCCCGATAGCCAGCAAGGCGTGCCAAAATCCCCGTCGCCAGGCAGAAGCACTAGCGGCGAACCCCGGCCGGACGATCCCAACCGCGAGCCCCCCGAGGACAGAGAAGAATCCGCCTCGCGCGACCGGCCACTGCAAGCTGAAATACAGCATGACGTCGCCCTACTAGACGATCGGAAGCATGAGCCCGCTGGGCCTACGCAGACTCGGAAGATGGACGTGTCGCAGCAGACCCCAACGCAGGTCAACGAGGACCGCGACTATGACGACGACGACGCGGCGTCCGACTCTTGGAGCCGTGGGCAGGACGACTCGCTGCTCCCGGACAACGAGGATCGCTCGCTGCAGGCTGACGATACCGGCGCGGTCAATTTCGAGGACATGAGCCAGTTTGGCCGGCCGTCGTCACAGGTCTCCGAGGATGGCGGCATCACCGCAACGAGAGGAGATTGGAGGGTGCCGGACCAGACATCTCAGCTGCGATCGAGTACCCTGTTTACGCCGTTCAAGGCGCCGCAAGACCCTGCCTTTGAGACGCCAATCGTGCCTAAGAATCCGTTTGGCCAGAGGGCAGCCGCGCCGGTGCCCTTTGCCGGGAGCCAGCTGTTCGGGCAGACCCAGCTTCTATCCTCTGCGATCAAAAAGGCCAGCCCGACCTCCTCGAGGCCGTCGCCGCATGTGCTGCCGAATTCGTTCTCTCCCAACCTGCCCGAGACATCCCCGCTCAAGGACCGTACCAATGTATCCTCTCCGACTGACATTCGAACGTCGAGCCCGCAGAGGCTCAATGACATTCCCGAGACCGAGCCTCGACGCAACAACCTGGAGCGAATCGAGGAGGAGACGCCGTCCCATAGCAGGTCGACCGAGGACGAGATCATCCCCGAGTCCCCGACTCACAAGGCGTCGAGGCTGTCCGGCGTTCACAAGCCTCGAGAGCACTACGAGAACATGAAGGCGTCTCAGCAGAGGAAGTCTAGCGACGGCGAAGTTTGGCGGTTCGTTGGCTCTGATAGTGACTCAGACGACGACGCCATCCGACGCATGGAACGGCGCAAGAAGGCCGAAAGGAAAAGGGCCCAAGCTGCACAAGAAATGGAGAAGGTGACTTTCATACCGCTACCTCGGAACACGTCCAAAGAGCGGCATGGCAACAAGCGTCGCCGGGTCAGCCCGGATGTTCAGACGCCGCGGTTTCAACCATCGGAAGAAACCATCATTGCTCAAAGTGACAACGTCGAGCCTTCGCAGCAGAAACCTGCTAGCCAGAGCGAAGTGCCGCATGATGGAACCACACAGGGCACGGAGGAGAGTGATGGGGAGCAGGAGAAGGAAGATGAGCCAGAGCTAGGGCCGGAGGAGCTTAAGGCAACCGACCTGGCGGCTGATGAATTTGTCCCTGCTACGAGCCCTACACGTCCTGGGAATACGCAGTCTGGGTCAAGCCTGCCCAAGTTGAATACGGACTCGGGGGTCAGCCGAAGCGTGTCACAAATTGGGCCGTCGTCTTTCTCCCCGAAGCCGGCCAGAGTACAAAAGTCATATGGAACACGAACCCGGCAAGGAAGAAGGGCTACGATCATAAGTTCATCCGTCTCCGTCGTCGTCTCAAAGGAATTGGAAACGGCTACTAAGCCTGGATCTCCCCCAACTAGCTCAGCCCCATCTACTGCCGTTCCAGGTGATAAGGAGGAAGACACAAATCTCCTACCAGATACATCTCCCCCGGATGAAGGAACGGAAGAAACAGAGCATCCAGTTTCGCCGACCGGAAATTCGGAGGGAGGATCAATCGAGGTTCAACCTAGGAAGTGTCAGACGCCCAAGGCAAGGGTGCCGGTCAGTGTGGAAGCCCAGAGTAGCTCATCCTCTTCCCTGAGCAGCCTCTCATCGGAACCCGCCTCGTCACTCATGACGACGCCTCTGATTCATGCACTTCGTGAGCAAGATGGGGCGACATCTGATGATACAGCACACGCTCCGGCAGGTAGAAAACTGAGAGCTAGGGCACTGCGAAGTGTAGCCAGCTCTACCTCGCCACAAGCAGTGAGAAATCTCCGTAATGTCAAGAGGCCCAGATACGGGTCTGAGTCGACGGACGAACTGGTCCGCTCGCCATCGGAGAGCGTGCTGGAAAAAAGCGTCACCTATCCCAAGCTGATCAGAAGTTTCCGTCACGGCGTGGCGGCGGTTGCGCAGACTGAAGGGTTGTTTGGCGGCATGATATTCGCCTTGTCGTTTAGCCAATCCAAATCTCAGGAGCGCACCAAGCTGGAGGCGAGGATCGCCCAGGCCGGCGGCACGATAGTCAACGATGGCTTTGAACCCTTGTTTGAGCAGTCGGCTGTACTGAGCACCCCAACGCCAATCTACGATGAAGATGCGCCACTGAGGCTGGTGGAATCGTTCAGCGAGGGAGGGTTCACGGCCGTCATTGCGGATGGCCATTCGAGGAAACCCAAGTACATGCAGGCGCTGGCACTCGGACTACCATGCCTGGCTCATCAGTGGATTACGGCTTGCCTGAATAGAGGTGAGATTGTTAGCTGGGAGGACTACCTTCTGTGCTCAGGTTCCTCGGCCGTGCTTGATAATGCCATCCGATCGCGGAAGCTAGATACGTACCCGGCTGCAGAGGCACAACTAGCCAATGTCGTGGAGTGCCGCAGCAAGCTTCTGGAAGGCCAGAATGTGCTAGTCGTCATGGACTCCAGGAAGAGCCGGGCGGAAGCCAAACAGCCGTATATCTTCCTTGCACAGGCGTTGGGGCCTAGGATCTCCCGGGTGTTCACGGCACAGCAGGCACAGCAGGCCATCAAGAAGCACGCAAAGGATGGCCGGCCGTATCAGTGGATTTACGTGGATAAAAGCGCAGGGACCGCAGAGTCGGTGGTGTCGTCGCTGAGCAGCGGCGGGGGGAAGAAACGCAAGAGGAGTCACTCGGCCTCTTACTTATCGGCCGAAGAGTGTCCTCGGGTGTTGAATGACGAATTGGTTATCCAGAGCCTCATCCTTGGTAGGATAGTACAAGAGGATGAGATGGAATTTTAGATGGGCGGTAGTTACATGGCGTTTGGGAACCCTTGTCTATATGGTTAGGCAAGGAGGTTTGGCTAATGGGTGAGTTTTGAATAACCACCTTGGACATGAATTTGTAGGATATATGATAAAGGCATGGGTGGGTGGTTGGCTAAACACCCCGAGATGCGTCAGAACATGCAGGATAATCAACTCAAAGCAGCACGTGTGTGTCTGTCCAACTGGAGCATTTACGCATTGCAATATTAGTGCACGCCGAATGTCATGGTGACGCAATCATCGTTTATCATCAGCACTCTAATGTTCCGATTCTCTCTGCACTTCCGCCTTGCAGCAACTGAGAAATCACACTGTACAAAGCAAGAACTCCTGCCAATTGGTCAGTTCGTATGGAGGTCACTTTGCAGGTGGGTAGAAGGATGGCCAACTTGGATCCCGTCAAGATATCAGCTGATAGATTCTCACCAGATATTACCGCTTTTCTGAGTATGAACCCTTTTTATAAATTTGCAAATACATCAAAAATGTTTAGAATAGCCATATACCGAAAAGTGACCGCCGATTTCGCAGAGTGCTTAGGTTCAAGCCTGGTAGATTGCATGAAGGGTCCGGCCACCTGTAATTATCATCCTTCCGGGTACTTTGGCATTCAGCTCGCCGAGGAACAGGATCATCATGTTTGGAATCGCAATATGGATGGCCTTTTGAGTGGTATGTGGGTTTTTCTGAGCCCCCAACAGCCCTATATTCGTTGAAGATTATTACAGTACGGCCCGCTCCATACATAAGTACATTTCTCCAGAAGAGTCTCGGGCTATTCCTACAAATTCATCAGCAACAAATCAGAAACTTCAGCGCGTCACGTTTCATGTCACTCAATTAATAATTATAGTAGGACTTACCCAATCTCCTCTACAGCACGTAATGTGGTATTATACTAAGCCGGGGCGTAGTCTACTTTGTGGCCTTTTTTCAGATGGCGCGACCACTTCTTCACTGCTCTACCCGGATGACTAACACTAACATGTTCCCTGAGATGAACAAAAGAGCCATGGCATTCGCGTGGTTCCTAGATCTGGCCCAGTCTTCGTCCAGCAGCCCAAACAGGCATGATAGGCTGGGATGGCATTCTTTCGCTGCGCTAGCTACTGAGCAGTTCTCGCACCGTCGAAGATCATGATTGCAGGGGCGGGGGCGGGGGCACAATTGGTGGCGTGACGGGTGCTTTGCCTTTGGAGATGCATCAAACAAGCTCCTGAACCAAGTGAGGGTCGAGCCGTGCCCTGTTGGTGATACCCAACATCTATGGACCCCAATGCATCTTCGCTGGTGGCACAGTGCGCAACGCCCCAATCCTCCTCGAGAGCAACATCCGTTGGCCCCTTCACTCCTGTCTTGAAACATCCTCAGTCAACCTTTGGAACCGCCATTCTTCCTGCTGATAACATGGTGGATGTGGTAGTGTGGGGTTCTATCACAATCCCACGCCATAAACAGATGACAGCCTGGACTGGACCTTGGGAGAAAGAGACCAGGGGGTTGGATATCGTCACTGCGAAAAACGCTGCTCAATACCTGGAGGAGCTACATTCCTTTCTATCCATTAGGCATTCCCTCGCCGGAACCCAGGGCGATGATGAACCTTGCGACACCATTGATGACAATGTATTTGAGAGGAGCAGCCGACGTCCTGCTAGGATTGTCAATATACGTCGCCGCCGTGGATGCTGCTTCAAGCTTCAAAGCAGAAGTTTTGTATCCCCAGGACGTATCCCTCACAGTCTACCAGAACGATGCCATCATAGTCCGGTATAACTCCGAGATCCCAGACAATTCCCTTTACACCTGGTGCTGGGACAACGAGAAGGTTCCCACATTGAGTATGTTGTCTATCATTTGATTATACAGCCACCCCAAGAATGTAAGTTGACGAACGAGAATCACAGAGGCCAGAGTTCAAGACGCAGTAGCGTATAACGGAGAAGAGCTCGTGACGATTGATTACACAAGCTCGAGCAGTTGCTGGTTCAATCTAAAAAGCAACGAAAATCCAACCGACCAGGGCTCAAGCAGCTGTGAATTCAAGGTAGCCAGCGGGAAGAGAGCAACAGCCTCGACATTCAACCTCGGTGCTTCAACTACCAGCTCCTCGACGAGCTCTTCCTCAACCACATCCTCTTCATCATCATCATCGGAGGTAACCTCCTCGCCGTCCACGACTACTTCTAGCTCCGAGTCGAGCTCGACGACCAGGTCAGAAAGGACGGGGGATATCACGCTCCCAGAGAGCATCTCTCCGTCGACATCGACACTCGTCACTTCTACCTCAGCTTCGAGCGCCTCGGCAACAACTACAGCGTCAGGAGGAAGCAAGGAGGATCTGGCCGCTTCGGGCGGCAGTTCTGCATCCTCTGGCGATGGGCCGGGAACGGCAGCCAGGATCGGCCTCGGGGTTGGTATCGCTGTGGGAGTTATTGGAATCACGGCCCTGGCGGGTGCGTTTTGGGTGGTCAGACGCCGAAACACGGTTGTCAAGCGAGCGGAGACGAACTCGGACAGCGAGCAGCTTCAGGGCGACAATCCTAAGCGTCCGTGGTGGCGTACAGATTTCCGAGAGATGGCTTCGAATGAGGAGCTGCGACGAGGACCACAACACGAGATGTCAGGCTAAGGGGGTCTATGGGCCTTTACTCGCATCTAATATGCCTACATTGACCGAGTTGGCCTGGGTATAAAAGTCTGATGAGATCAAAGAGCTGGGACGGTGTTCGTTGGGCAGAGGCATGTAATCATCTGCTTTGGCATCTCTCATGCGGCATCCCGCTTCTTGGAAATAATCAAACAAAAACAATGTGATTACTTGAAACATAGAAATCGAATGTCACTTAGGTGAATTCTATAGATCCGGTGGTCGTTTCATGCCACTCTCTATGTCTATACAAATGGTATTCAGTTTCTAGATACTCTCGCAGACAAGATTATATACACAAAATTAGTACCCAACAGGGGGTATCATGAATAGCCATAGTTGGCTTAACATCTTCACCCCAGAATCCTTTTTCCACCACACGGGAAGTCGCCTCTCTTGTCACCGACATACGTCGCTAACAGGATATTATTTATCCTACAGGTGTTTTCTCGAATAGCCGCCGTGGCCGGCACTCCTCGTTGGCAACCTGGGATTTGCGTTCTTGAGTCCCCAATAACAGGAGGATGCTAATGGAAGAAGGGCCGAACTTTTGGAACCCTACTCAATAGGCAGCATCGCGATCCTTCATTGCAGCGATGGCCAAGTTGTAAACCCAACAAGTTCACAAGCCGAGAATCGGCACAGAAATCGGCTGCGAGTTCTGCCGACAAAAAGGGGTGTTGGTATGAATTCTCTCGGCATCAGTGTGATTCCTCTCGCGGGAAAGATCAGGTCCACTCGAGCTTCAGAGATTTATGTCACGGCAATGCTGCCATCATGCATCACTGTTCTTCCTCAAAGTCAAATCACTCCTCAGAATCCTGTTGGAAAATAGCGGTGTCGTATACGGGTTCAGGTTTAGGGTCTTGTTTGGGGGCTTGTGCCAGCCCCTTCGACCTCAATTCGGCAATCTTCTTGTCTTCGGCCTCCTTTCCAACCCAAACTCGGCCGTGTAGGTGTGTTACACAGGGGGTTTGCCCTTCGCCTGGATAGTAAAGCCACGTTGCCCATTTCGGCCACTGTATCAAACCCATTAGTAAATTTCGTTAGTTAAGGCGAGTTTTGGCCCTTGGACTTTTACGCTCTAGTATTGAGCTGCAGGGCTTCTTACCTGTCCATCCTTCATTTGGGTTCTACAGACATGCCCAATCTTATCTTCAATAAAATCTCCACGAAGCATGGAAAGCCGTGAGGGGAACACTCTCTCCAAATAGTGAACCTTGGAGGCAATATGGGGTTTGTCAAGCCAGTGAAACAAAGGCGTCAGCGCGATCTTTACATCGGGGTAACGCTTGGGGCTGAACTCCGCCTTGAGCGAGGCGGTCAACGTCTTCAAGGTAGGGAAATCTACTACTTCGGCACACGTATCATATGATAAATTGCGTGGCGAGGGCAAACAGACATATTTGACGGGCCGTTCAGGTTCCGCACTCGAAGCTTGCATGACATCCAGCAAGGCCTCCAGTGGAATATCTGCTGACAAGACCCAATCATGCTGATGAACCCATACGTACGGCGTATCTGTCATGCGAAGCGCTGTACGAACCGCAAGGCCGAAACCTATTCGCTTGCTCGGCTCTATAAAAGATACCGTTTTGTCAAGAGTCACACTGGTCGTAAATTGTACGGTGTTTGGGCCAGTTCTCAGCCCGCCAAATTCTGCCTCTCCTTCAGAATGGACGAAAGTCGCATGAGGCTCATGTTTCCCATACTGTTTTAGGATGAGATTCTTGACATTAGTCTTGTAAATGCCATAGCTTTTTGCCTGCTCTGGCGTTACCCTACCCTTCTTTAGCCGGGGAGTGGACTGGATTTCATCATATCCGTCAAACACAACAATAAGATTGCATGTCAACAAATCAGGGCAGAAGCTCCGGAAAGATTCTAGAGCTGTCGAGATTAACTCTGTTGAAGGAGCAGTTGGCGTCACTGAAGTGGTTATGATTACTGTTAACAAGGTTCTGGCTTCTGCCATTGTTATTGGTTGAAGTCAAGCCCTTGAGAATCCCAAATCCAATTTGAAAGATTTCTTCAATGCTAGTCTTAAGAATCCGCTGAATTGTTCGTTATGTTGGCTGGACCAAGGATGGCTCTTTAGACTTGTCCAGGGGCTTGTCCAGGGGTCGGCGGCAAAAAGAAAAATTGACCAAAATGGGGTAGCGAGTTTTAAGGAATTCAGCACAAAATAGAAAAGTGAACAAGGAGAAAAATATTCGGGTTGTCAATTTGACGAGAGCATATCGCCCAATCCTTCCACATCAAGACCTCGACATCACCGAAATCAGAATGTGTGTTTTCTTCATGTCGACGTCGATACACTCAGACTCATTGAGAAGGAGGCTGGGGTAAAGCCGCTGACTAAGCCGGATATCACGTCACGTGCACTCTCACCACAAAATGCCGGCAAGAGCATTCAAAGATGACATTTGTTGTTCTTCTTATTATTGTATTGATCATGGTTTATCGGCTTTGGCAAGACGACCGCGATAAACCCATGAAAACATTGGGAACACTTTGATGTTTCGGGCTAAGACCAAGAAATGCTTGGAAGGAAATGGGTCAAAAAGCCAAGCTTAAGACAAGCTTCGAACAAGCTCAGCTAACAGGATGTGGTTGGCTCGGCGGGAATCCAAATGCAGCGATGGAACCAGGGGCTCTATCGTGTTATGAGTACTTGACGGGCCATTTCAACGAAAATGCCGCTGTGGTCTGCCAACGAGATCAACCTCCATGTCCCGCGCATTCCGAAGGGCGGAGGAAGCCAGATGCGGCTCTCCAAACGAAATGCGCTAGGCCAACCTACCATTCTCATGGGAACCTCGCGCTCGGCAAAGCGGCGGGATGCGAGGAAGAGATGGTTGCCGACGACTTGGGAGATTCAGCCCGGAGGGTAGAAGCTACCGACTGTCCGATGAGATACGACCAGGAAAAGGTACTCGTCAGTGGGTGGGTCGAGGAACAACAAAGCAAGCAAAATGGGGGTACGGCCACCCACTCAGACAAGATGTACCCGGCACCGAGCTTTCGAAAGCTTGAAGCTACACTGTGTGGTAGGTTAGTGCGTGGTATTTCGTCACTATTGCGGTAGTTCCCCCCCAAGCCACTCTTGGGCGCGTCCTTTAACGTGTGGCGTATTCCCAGAGTACATGCCAGTCGATCAATTGACTGAAATCCGGTCCTAATCGTGAGGTCCAGTGGGCTGGATCACGAGAGTGCCCCAGGCCGGAATCATATGCAATTCTCAACGTTGTTCCTTTCCAAGTCAATCCCGACGCAATTACCGGATTTCGGAAAACGGGGTGGATCGACAAACTCTTTCACCTCGGTTTCATTGCGAAGCAATTCGGGACATGGCGTTGTGGCATGACTGCAGCACCACAGCATGGGAATTCCCCCCCATGCTCCAATCCCACCATTCAGCAACCCAGAAGCAAGATAAACAAAGTGGGAAGCGCCAGTGGGCATGGATTGGGTAGCAGCCGCAGAACAGCCAAGGGACATTGACCCCTGGTCTCGCTGTGCTTGGATCAAATGTAATTGCTACGTAGGCTACGTAGGGTCAGTTTAAAGTCACGCCAAGCCGCCGAGGTCCCGCAGCTGCCGGACAAGCAGGGCACCGGCCTGTCTTTCTACAGCCTTAGTGCTACCCTACCAGCCTACTACCGGATGCTACTGGCCGCTTGAGACTGGACGCTTGGGGCGTTGAGTTCGCAACGAGCACCAGACACCTGACACATCGACGAGAGTTAGGCACGCGACACAACCACACCCGCGCTCCTTGGCTACATCACTACAGGAGCTACTGCCCTCAAATTACGTATCCGCCATCACCGCCATATGGGCTTGCTCAATGCCGATGACGACTGCCAATCTCGCGTTTGCTTGATCTGATCAGCACGGCCCAAACCTTGTCTAGTAGCGGAGCATGAGCCACGCATCAACTGTTGGCTGCTTTCTCCTTTGTGCCACACCAAAAAACGAGAACCCAGATTTCCGTTCGAGTAGGTCTACCGACTGATTGCCCATAGATGCCGGCAGTATAGTGGGCATGGTTTATCAGATCCCCTCATCAGACCCATCCCGTGCTCTGTACCCTTGCCTCCGCCTCAACAAGGACTGCTACGAGACAGTGACCTTTTCCATCGTAGTTTCTCTTCGAGCAAGGTGACATGAAATAGACGGCGTGCATGAGGAGATTGTGACGCTTGGCTCTCCCTGAGCTTTTTCTTGTCTGTTATTGTAGTGGCCAGAGACACTAACATGAATTTACAATTTCCGCTCTCTCCCAACATCTCCACCACCCACCACCAGCTCGTGAAGGAGGGTGAGGAGCCGGTCAAAAAACTTGGGTCTTCCGACGGTCCCGTACTATGCATGTCCAGTTTCCATCCAAGCCCAGCATGAGATTTTATCAGACAGTTACTTGGCAGTACATGCAGCCAGCCCCAGCCCACCTCGTGGCCAAGGTAACGCGGACGTCGCTCTTTCCGGACTCGTTGAGTCTCCGGGATTAATACTTGTTGCTTGGATCAGCAGTTTTTCGGCTTCTTGATCGTCTACATCTCGTCAATATACTCTTCTTGGGGTTTGATAATAGTGGACTGAGCGGGTTTCATCCACGAGGCTCGGCAGGCACATACCATGCAGGCAGTCCAAAGCTGTCCCTATACATACGTCGAGTATCCGATTGCTCCTTCCCCTCCTACTTCTTGATCGCATTTCACTCTCGTATATATTCACTTATCTGTACGTCATTAATATTGCCACTTGGTCCCATCTACCAGGACTGCTCAAACATTTGCTCTTCCTTTCGGTTGTTTAGAGAGCATCAGGGCCAGTTAATCTACTAGCAATCAGGCCCTCCTTACCACCAGTATTGTATCTCTATTATAGGATTCGACATGGCGGTCGGGGCATTCCTCGAGCCGTTGGTGGTGGTGACACTCCTCTTTGGGGGCGCCTACTTCAATCGAAACAAGGATTATAATCTTCGAAAGGGAACGGCAGGATGGGCAGGCCACAGGAATTTGAAAAGGAACGATGATTCTGAGGATTTAGGAAGCAGGCCTTCCGAGGAATGGAGCTCCTCGTCCTCCACACCAACTTTGGCACCCCAAGAACCAAGACTCCGTCGCCGCAAACTCCATCTATTCGGTTACACCAAGATTGTCTCCACGCCGAATACTCTGGTCTTTAAGGATCGCTTTCTCAGTCGTGTTCTTCAGAAATTCCCCTTCCTCGCCGAGGCCTGGTACTGGGCAAACATATACTGGGTATGTCCTCGCCTTCATTTCATCCCTTTCATCCACCCGTCACGAGATCTCCCTTCTCGGATATCCCCATACATTTTAGGCAATAACCATGATCTCAAGCTTAATACCCTGACCTTTTATGCTTCTCCACAGGTATATCAGATTGGCCGCGCCATCTCAGCCCTCGCTCTTGTTGAAGGCACCGTCAATGTCGCCCGCAGACATGCCCTCGAGGTCATCCACCTCGAGCAAGAACTAAAGATCTTCTGGGAACTCCCCGTCCAGCACTGGTTCCTCAAGCATCCTACTCTGCTCCATTGGATCAACCGGGTCTACTCCTTCATCCATATCCCCGGAACCATCCTCTTCCTCGTCGTTCTCTATTACCTCACCACGACACGCAAGCGCCATGCCATGACCGGCCGAGTCATCAACGACAACACAGGTGCTGGTCCTGCCCTTTACGAGGTGCGTCGACGCACTATGGCGATGTGCAACCTCATCGCCTTTATCGTTTTCACTCTCTGGCCATGCATGCCCCCGAGACTCCTTAGCGACCCCAACTACGAAGGTGACAATGCTGCGGAGTCCAAGAGTTTCGGGTTCGTCGATACCGTCCATAGCAAGGCCGGAGAGAGCAGTGTATGGACAACAAACAAGTTCTGCAATCAATATGGTCAGTCAAGGCCCGCAGCCAAATCCAGCAGGGCGTTTTACTTCAGTCGCTAATTATTCACATTTATAGCTGCCATGCCCTCTCTTCATTTTGGATACTCTCTCCTCATCGGCCTCACCATCGCAACCCTCCCCATCAGTGGTCTTCGATCGAACTCGTGGAAGCGCGCCGCAATTGTCGTGGGCGGCATGTCCTATCCCACCCTTATTCTCACCGCCATCGTCGCCACAGCGAACCACTTCATCCTCGACGCCGTCGCCGGTGCCATGGTCTGTGGCCTTGCATGGTATGGAAACGGCTTCTTGCTGAATCTCTGCGTCCTTGAGGATCACTTCCTCTGGCTTCTGCGTATTCACAAGCCGGTCAACTACACCGATCCAGATACAGCAGTGGAGCCCGAATTCCAGAGCGGTTTGATGCTCGGGGGGAGTTCTTGAATGATGCGAATGGAATTATGGTCTCCTGTACATGCTTTACACCCACAATGTTAAGAATACCCCTTGAGAAGAAGGTGTGGTATCAGATGACGGGAGCCAATGTGCTCCGGACCATGTATGTATCAAATAATGGTAATAATACAAAATAGATGTCCTCCAAGAAAGAATTTACAACTGGGATATGATATGATGCTTTAATAATTCCAAAGCCTGGCAGGGCCCAGATGTTGAATCGGTTGTACAGTGTGATTGACACAGGGTAGGTTCAAGAATGGCAGTACAGATCTCAAGCTCTAATGCCAAGATAATTATCTGAGAAGCTTAGACTCGTGTCAAATAATAGTTAGTAAAGAAGAGTAGGTACTATAGTTATGAAAAGAAAACTTATTGCATATATTGGAAGCAAGTGACGTGGCTTACAGCTTGTCATTGTTCAAAGCCCAACTACAGTGATTCGAGTAGAGCCGGGTGAAGTATACTTATTGTAAATTAGGAGGGTCACATTTCCAACAATTACTAAGCTTGCCTGGGTAGTCTAGGTGGTCAGGGCACCACGTTGTGGATCAAGCGTCAAAACCGTGGAAACCCCGGTTCGAGTCCGGGCCCAGGCACATTCTTTTTGATTTTTAACCTTCCTTTCTTTTCGCTACAGCTCAACGTAGCAGCTTCAATTTTCTCTCTCGGTAATACCCCCGGGGTATCTAAAATGCAATAAGAGGCTCCCTGACCATCTTAGTCAGCTCGCCCGGGTAGTCTAGGTGGTTAGGGCACCACGTTGTGGGTATCAACTGGAACCGTGGAAACCCCGGTTCGAGTCCGGGCCCGGGCACATCTCTCGTTCCGCATCCTTTTTGCTTATATTTAGACTTCTCCTCATCGAACCTTCACCCAGGTTCGGCTCTCCTTTTACTTTCCAGCCATGCTCCTGCGAAGTGTATATATACCAGGATAAAACTTGTGAAACATCAACATCAGCTGGCCTGGGTAGTCTAGGTGGTCAGGGCACCACGTTGTGGATCAAGCGTCAAAACCGTGGAAACCCCGGTTCGAGTCCGGGCCCAGGCACATTTCTTTTTGATTCCTTTTTAGATTTGGCATATCACGACTGGGTATCGATCAGAGAGTACTCTGAATGTGATTTTTTTGCAGTTTGATGCTGGAATTGAGCCCTGTGGCTGTTGCGTGGTTATTGAGCCATAATTGCCATTCCGAGGCCATTCCCGGTGTCACTCTCCCAAGGATGCCATTAGGCCAGGACCCTTGAAGGGAAAGAAATGCTCACAGGGATTTGGACCGTCAAAAGCCACGGGAATCATGCACGGAAGTGTTTCGCTAAATTTTGACACCAGCACGGGGAATTGAAGAGTCGCCCTAGAACGTGGCATTCGGGCAATACCGTCGCCGGGTACGACTTACACATGTCAGATATACAGCCAAACGCCCATGAAACCGTACTCTCAGATTCGTCTACGATAGTATCGTAGTAATTTTCAAGTCAGGCGTCACGGAGGATGCTTACGGTGAGACTAGGTACTCTCAACTAGCTTCTGGAAGGGTAGTATGTGAGGATAGCTCAGGCTGAGAGACGATGCTCAGTCTGTATGGCACCAATTTCGATATGGCGAAGTCGGTGGCGCTTATATCGCAAGAGGTCGCTGTCAAAGGAATTACTGGGCCGGCCTGACAAGATTGGTTCGCCTGTGTTGCCCTTAGATGGAAGGCGTATGCGGTAGTTGATCCAGAAAGTTCGCTTGGCTTGGGTCTGGAAGCACCCGAGAGCTCAATTCCATGTTCGCTCTGGTTTCATTGATCTTGCTAAATTTAGAACATGCATTCTGGTATTTTGTAGCCGACATTAGTGTGCCTTTCTTATTCGGTTCGTGTTCCGCTGGGGAAAAATGAATCAGTCGAGTTCTACAAAGGGGCTCAGTGTGGTGCAGAGTCGACAGGATGATACACAATGGCTTATACACATAGAGATATGAGCCTGTCTTGCATATGGCAGCCATACACTAAAACGTGGGCGTGCACATCTGCAGCCTTGATCCTGTAGCTCTGTTACATCGCTCAACTTTGGCATCCATCATTGGTAGAGGTATCTGTTACGTTATATTTAATTTCTCACCGCTGGGATCCTTGCCCGCTTCTTCATCTATTTATCCACTCGTTCACTTACGTGCATGCGATTATCTAATCCTGGTTCTGGCTTCACTTATAAACGAATAGGTATGCATGCACCTGGCTGCGGTCTCCAAGTCTCCTCTTTGATCCGTCATCTCGCTAGCACTGCGAACAAAACTCCAATTGGCTTCACCTTCACTTGAAAAGTCCACAATCAGTTCGCAGGGGCCCTCCTAGGGCTTTTTAATGGAATTTGCCCCCAACAATGCAGAGGAAACCTGCCTGAAAAACCACCACCTTCTCACCGTAAAAGATGGCCACCACCAACACACCGACGGCTTGGGGATGAAGGGCCCAGCCCTCCACCATCACCACCAATCAACAAATGAGATAACCTCGGACTCTACTGAGTCGCCTGAGCTCTCGGCTTCAACCAACTCTGACGAACCCGATTATCCAGAGGGCGGCTTGCAAGGATGGCTTGTCGTCTTCGGTTCGTTCTGCGCAATGGGCGCCGTCTTCGGTCTGATCAACACCAGCGCGGTCTTTGAATCATACTTTAAAGAGCATCAACTCAAAGAGTACAGCCACTCCCAGGTAGGATGGATCTTCAGTTTGTACCTATTCTTGGTCTTCTTTATTGGCATTCAGGCTGGGCCAATCTTCGATCACTACGGACCCCGTCTCCTGGTCGCAGTGGGCAGTGTACTTATCGTTGCGAGCCTGATGCTTCTTAGTATTTCAAAGGGTATTGCGCATCTTCCTACCCTATTTCACCACGCTGGCTAATTTCTCATGGATAGAATACTATCAAATCATTCTGACCTACTCTGTTCTTGGTGGCACTGGCGGAGCATTACTTAACTGTCCTGCGTACGGTGCTATCGCTCACTTCTTCAACGTTAAAAGAGGTCTGGCAACAGGCATCGCTACAACTGCAGGAGGCATCGGAGGCATCGTCTTCCCGCTGTTGCTCCAATTCCTGCTAGGAGAGAACGGTGTAGGTTTCGCCTGGAGCTGCCGCATCCTCGGCCTCATCCTCCTCGTTCTCTGCGCAGCCGCAAATCTCTTTGTGCGCAGCCGACTCACTGCGTCCGTCAATAACGGCGAGAAGAAGTCGAGAGGTCACTCGGTCTGGCCAGACCTGACGATTCTGCGCAGCCGAGGCTTCGCATCCTCTGCCGTCGGCATCTTCTTCATGGAATGGGGCCTCTTTGTCCCCATAACCTACATTATCTCCTACGCGAAGAGCCACGGCAGCAGCGACGCCGAGAGCTCTGTCCTCCTGGCATCTCTCAACGCCGGCTCCGTGCTGGGCCGCTTCCTCCCTGGCCTCCTGGCTGACAAGCTGGGCCGTTTCAACGTGATCGTCGCGACCATCGCGCTCTGCGCCGCCACCATCCTCGGGTTCTGGCTGCCGGCGGGCGATTCGAAGCCGCTCCTCGTCGCCTTCTGCGTCGTCTTCGGGTTCGCCAGCGGGAGCAACCTCGGGCTGATCCCCGTGTGTATAGGGCAGTTCTGCGACTCCCGCGACTACGGCCGGTACGTGACCACCGCGAACATGATCGCGAGCTTTGGCACCCTGACGAGCGTGCCCATCGGCGGTGCGTTGCTAGGGTTTGAGGGGAGGGCAGGGTGGGTTGGGCTCATCCTCTTTTCGGCGGCTGCGTATGTCGTGGCCCTGGCCTGCTACGTGACCGCCAGGGTTTCTGCGACGGGGTGGAAGTTGCGGAAGAAGTTCTAGAGTAGCTGTTGTTCCGACAAATATGAGGCTTATCTGTCTAGCCTTTTGTGGTTGTGGCGGAAAGGGTCGAGATCTTTCGGCAGAACCAAAGGAGAGGAGGGGCAGGGCAATAATGGTGTAGGAAAGGGGTCACTCTCGCTGAAATTCGAACGGGGACATCTCATTCACCAGTTCTCAGGGCTGGTCAAATATGTGCAGTCTGGGGGAAATGAAGTGGCTCACTACATGGGGAGGTAGCACAGAATATTTATGGAGGCGACGTGGGAGGGAGTTTGACGAAACGCATGGCTAATAATTTCTAGTCGAACTTGAGGACGAGGAAGCAACTTAGCGTTACAAGCGAATCACGCGGTATCAGAATGCGATCGTATTCCATGAGTTTAATGGTTCCCCTTGTCCTACATTTTGAAGTTTTGGGTCTGCCCACGTTTACTGAACGAGCCTCTGTGGCTGTATCCGCCCCCCCTCACTCTTTTTTTTTTTAATCCTTTTTTCAGTAAATGCTTGTAAACTGAGATCCTTCCCTCCAAAATGTTGTCGAAACCCACATAAGAGGTGTGTTGGGGAGGTTTTGTGAACGATAAATATATGGCTAACGATGGTAGGGTGTGAGGGGCAGAAAGATGGGATGAACTGCGATCGCCGTGGTCGAATGATGTTGTTCATATGATCAGCCAAGCAGGGTCATCCTGCTTGCTGCACACCCAAACTGGAATAAAAAAGCATGCTTTTCTCAATAAAAGCAATTGATGTGCCATTCCGTTCGCTGATTTTACAATCCACATTGACCAAACTCCCACCCGCAACTATTAAATCGGGAGAATAGAACAAGGAGAGGTAGCTAGATATCAGTTTAGTAGGTACCTTAGGCTACGGTGCCTAACTTACAGCATATGTATACATGCCTGGCCGACAGTCTAATTTTTCTTTCTTTTCTATTCTTTTCATCTCTTTCAGTTTATATTGAAAGTGACTCATATGATACTAAATAGGGCATCCTGCAGCGAGGCGTTTTGTCGTTTTGAGCGTCATCGCGGGATAGAGCCTTGAAGCCGACGAGGTCGTGCGTGGATCCGCGCAATTGCCACAATCTGCCGCGCGGCGGGGTACGAGAGCCAAGATATTCGATTTGCATCGAAGATGACGGAAATGTCTTGTTAGAGAGACACGAGATGGTAGCATAGAAAAAGGACAGTAAAATTACTCAGAACGCATTGTATGTCAGAGATGCATTTGATCTTGCCTCGTATTCAATATACAAGGCTACCGGACTGTCCTCGGTGGAAAGTCAAACTATCTACGTTTCTACCCTCAAGCATGCAGCTCTAAGTAGGCTACAAGGCGGGCAGGCAGGCAAGGGCAGCCTGGAAACAAACAAGCTCGGTGACTGCTCTATTACGTACTGGAGCTACGTATGTCCGCCGCTGGCTTCCAGCAGTCGAGGCGAATGTGGCGGAGGGGCAGCTCCAGACGAACTGCCCACTTAATCCGGAATGCGCCACAGCGACTGCTCACATGCACAGTTCATGCCGACTCTGTTTGTTCACTCGCGTTTCTTCACAAGACCAGATCCAAAGAAAAGCCTGTCCAGTGCATGCCTGACCAGCCTGGCCCTCCCAAGCCAGACATTTTGATTTTCGTTAAAACCACCGGTGCCCGCTGGCATCGACCCAGCCCAGCTCACCACAGCTGCCCAGACGATGACTTCACAGTCTCCAGATGCCCCGCCCCGCGCCTCATCCCCATCCACCAGCTTCTACGCCATGAGCGACGACGAGGAGGGCGAGTACGAGACCATCACCCATGCGCGGAGCGGCAGAGGCGTGAAGCTCTTGTTTTCAAAGAGCAAGGTATGTCTACATCTACTCCTTCATCTACTCCTTCATCATCACTGTCTTGTCCTTGCTCTTCGCTCCGGGAACCCAACCCCACTAACATGGTCTGTCCACTAGGTCTACGTCCACCCAACACCCTCGACCAAAGATAATATTGCAGGATACATCGCTCTTCTCCAGCAGAAGGGGTCCCGACGCGAGTCCAATCCCACCAACGAAGGCAGTTCAATTGGCGCCGCCGACTTATTACTGGGATGGATCCCCGAGTCTGCCCTGGGCGACGCCGAGAGCATCTACGTCAAGGTTGACCTGTGCGATGGCGACAGTCCTCCGAAGCAGAAATATCTTGTCCCCCCGCCCCCGACTGTGACGGCAATCAGTAGCTCTGTCGGTGGTTACTCCTTCGCCATCCCCGTCAGTGCAATCTACTCCCTGCAAGTCCGGCCGCCGAGCCTTGGATGGTGGTATGGATCCGTCATCATCAATTCCAAGGGGGGCGACAGCTTCCCCGCCCTCTTCTTCCACGATAACGAATGCCAGAGCACCATTCTGCAGAAGAAGAAGCTGGCCCGCGATACTTTTGATCCCTTCGGCGAGACTGGGCAGATGTTCTGGGGAGGCGATGAGATTATTCGGTGGCTGCGACGATACGTCAAGGTTGAGAGGTCCGGCGCGGAGCCTAATATTTATCTGATCGACCCAAGCAAGGAGGACCTGGAAGCTTTTGGTCAAAGACCGACCACAAGCTCTAAAAAGAAGCAGGATGAACTTGCCCGGGGCGGTTCTTCCAACGACGCCCAAATGGACCCCTTTGTTAAGTTCGTCAAGGAGACGGGGTGGAACCTAATGAACCAGTTCAGCAAAGTCACGACGTTCACGAGGAGAGCCGCGCAAGACTTTGTGGACAATCCTAATCTGCCTCCCCAGGTCAAGAGACTGTTGAAAACACCTGAGGTCCAGACGTTGCAGGACGAATTTGACAGTGCCCGCATCTACTTGGCGAGATGGGCCATGGGCATCGCTGAGCAGAGCGAGCGGGACCGCAAGCAACGAACATGGACGGCACACGATGTCATGGAGCTTGAGGATACCGACGTGGGAGAGTTTGAACTTTTAGAGGGCAGCTCCCTTTCTTTAGAGGATAGACGAAAGACGCTGACCCAGAAGGAGTGGGACGGCTTTTTCGACCCGGAAACTGGTCGACTATCTGTTACGACCGACGAGGTCAAGGAGCGCATCTTCCATGGTGGGCTCGACCCCAATGACGGAGTTCGCAAGGAGGCTTGGCTCTTCCTGCTGGGGGTTTACGATTGGTATGGCACGACAGATGAGCGGAAAGCTCAGATCGCCTCTCTGAGGGACTCATATTACAAGCTTAAGCTTTCCTGGTGGGACCGCCTCGAAGGAGATGGCGGAGACGGAGAGACTGGCGAGTGGTGGCGTGAGCAGCGAGCCCGCATCGGTAAGAAAGAACCTCAGAGCGAATCTGTTCATGATACTGTCTGCTAACTTCCACCTAGAAAAGGACGTCCACAGAACCGACCGAAACGTCCCCATCTTCCAAGGGGAGGATACTCCCCACCCTGACCCAAGCTCCCCATTTGCCGAAGTAGGCACAAATGTCCACCTAGAGCAGCTCAAGGAGATGCTTCTGACGTACAACGAGTATAACAAGGACCTCGGCTACGTGCAGGGGATGTCGGACCTCCTCGCCCCCATCTACGCCGTCGTCCAGGACGACGCCATCGCATTCTGGGCGTTCCAGAAGTTTATGGACCGGATGGAGCGCAACTTCCTGCGCGACCAGTCCGGCATGCGCAACCAGCTCCTGACCCTCGACCAGCTCGTCCACTTCATGGACCCCAAGCTCTGGGAGCACCTCGAAAAGGCCGACAGCACCAACTTCTTCTTCTTCTTCCGCATGGTCCTGGTCTGGTACAAGCGCGAGTTTGAGTGGACGGACGTCCTTCGGCTGTGGGAGACGCTCTGGACCGACTACTACAGTGCCAATTTCCACCTGTTCATCGCTCTAGCCATCCTAGAGAAACATCGGGATGTGATCATGACGCACCTGCAAGCATTCGACGAGGTGCTGAAATACGGTATGCTGGCCTTCTTAACCACCTGTCCTCCCTCTTTCCTAGAACATTGTCACTAACATAATAATCCAGTGAACGAGCTCTCTAACACCATCGACCTCGAATCAACTCTAATCAGGGCCGAAACCCTCTTCCGGAAATATCAAAGACTGGTTGAAGCAGTCGACAAGAAGGAAAACTTCCCCGCTCCCAGGAAACCAGAGGCGGAAGCCAGCAATGCCGCCAATGGCAGCTCCAACTCCGGAACCGGGGACAGCAGGACCGCGACCCCCAGCAAGGGTAAAGGCAAAGAAGATGCTGCAAGGACCATCACGCCAGAGTTGCGGAAGTTGCTGAGCAAACAGGTTGACGTACTGCCCCGGACGACTGTGGCTGAGAATGGCGATGGTATGCCTACTAGGTAATAGACCTACACCTGTAACCAGAGGGCCTCTGGTTTGTTTTATGTATCATGACCTTTGGCGTGTTTCTTTTTCTATTTTATTGTCTTTGCAGTGATAGTTCGAATTAAGAAAGGGCGCTATAATGTTGGAGTTTTGGTGGATTAGGTTTTGCAATTATACACTTGTATACGAAATAAATGCTTGGTCTCATATTCACTCTTTCTCGCTGCTGGTCTCTCTCTTGAATTATAAAATTTTCTAAATGATAAATTTTCACAAAAAGCAAGGCTATGCTATGTGAAACCTATTCAACGCCAATAACACCAGCATTCCCAAACCATTGCATATGCAACTCTCGCCACACCCCCAGCCATTTCACTGGGTTGTGCTGAACATATTCCAGAAACAGCCCGTTTCTACTACAACCAACAGCCCCCTACATGCGCTCTTGACCAACCTCACCTTCGGTATGGGTTGTTGCCCTGCCCAGGCGGCGAGAACGCCTGCCCGGTGCTGCCAGGACTCACAGTCCTGGAGCCCCCGTTCCCCCACAGCCGCTGCCGTAGCCTATCCTGCGCAGAGGCACCTCCCGCAGCCGGCGGAGGCCCCTGCCCCGAGTAGCTCCCAGCCCTATCGTTGGCCCCAGGTCTCCCTGCGCCGCCGCGGTGAAGCCCGCCTGGTCCTCCTCCTGCTGCTCCTCCCCCCGGCGGCTGCCTCCCGACACGCAGACTCGCAGGCGGCGCAGGGGCCTGCTGCTGCTGGGCGGCGCCGTTGTCCCAGAGGGAGCTCAGGCCCGGCTGGGTGCCGCCGACTCCTCCGCCGCCGGGGAGGGGCCGGCTGCCCTGCTGGCTGGAGCCGTGGGCGAGGAGGGGCTGGATGGGCGCGGCCTGGGAAGGGGCTTTGGGGTCGAGGGGCAGCCAGCCGGGGAAGGGGCGGCCCTTCTCGGTGTAGTAGTTGCGGAGGACGCGGCAGACGTGGGTGTCGTCCTCGGTGTCGCCGTCGTTCTCCGAGGAGGAGATGTTGGCGCGGAAGCTGGAGATCTGGGAGGAGGTCTTGGTGATGAGGTTGGAGTACCAGGAGGACATGGTGGGCCAATGATTTTGTTTTCTTCTTCTCCTGGCCCGGCGGCCTTGTTGGTGTAGGTTTGTTTCCTTGTTGGTGGGAGGAGGGTTGTGGGTTTTGCTTCCTCTGTGGTGGTGGGAGGTTGGAGAGAAAGGGGAGGGGCTCGTGAAGGGTGTTCGGACAGGCAGTCGGTATGTGAGATGTTGTAATCGAGAGGCGGTCTTCGCCTGAGTAATTATGGCAGGCAAGTGGGCGGATTGAGAGCGGTTCAGGGTTGAGATTTGAGCGGTGGTGGGTGTGTGGTGAGGAGGCAGCAAAGGTAGGACTGCTGAGCTTTTGGAGGCGGAGAGAGAGGATTGACTGGCTGCTGGGCTGTGGTAGTAAATGCACTGGCCTATGGAGGTCCTGGTCGGTGACGTGGGGTTCGAGTTAAGCTGCAGCTTCAGGTGGCATGTGGGGCTTTCTCTCTCTGATCTCTGTGGCTGATAGTTAAGGATGGTCAATGCCAAATATCACCACACTCAAAGTGATATTTCCCACGTTTCGAAGTGTTTTTCTGAGCTGATAGATATTCTTTGTCGCTTTTTGTCAACTCTGCCGGGCAGGAATTATCCCATCAGAAGAACATATTCTCCCAAAAACAAAATAATAAAACGTCGTTTCCTCTCCCCTGTCGCATTGAAGCGCAGAGGTCAACTGTCACAGCCTGGTTTCAGAAAAGGTTGGGCATGAAATGAACGATAATGCTGATCTAACGATATGAAAGAATTGGCCCTTCTGCGGCTCCCGCTACCCTCCAGTTTTTTGTCGGACTTCCCTGTCTTGTACCGAATTCGGGCCCCCAGTTGTAACAGCTGATTTAATATGGTATCAATTTCGCTTCTCAAACTGCACTTGTGATTGCACCCCCAGACAATATAACAGATGCGTATATACATACTATCCCAAACCGGTTTACGCCAAACAACGCCATTTTTACCATTCGAGTTCGTTGGTCAAAGCAACCTTCTGCTGCTCCTGTCGGGGCTTCTTGTTCTTCATCTTGATCGCGCGGCCACGCTTTCGCTTGAGGCCAGCCTTGGACTTCTCAGTCTCGGACTCGTCGCTCTCGTCGTCTTCCTCCTCCTCCGCTTCGCTCTCGAGCCAGTCCTGGAGGTCCTCGAGCTCTTCCTCGCTCTCGTCAATGTCAGAGACGTACTGGACCTCCTTCTCGAGGTCGTCCTCTTCTTCACTGTTGAGCTCCTCCTCCTCTTCACCGTCGTCCATGTCCTCGTCCCTCAGACCCTCGCCATCACGCTCCATGGCGTTGAGAACCTTCTTCCAGATGTCCTCGCTGACGTTGAGCGGCTGATCGCCATATGCACCCTGCCTCAGACGCTCCAGAAGCTCTCTCTCAATCGTCTTCTCCAGCTTGGCAGCCGCCTCGGCCTTGCGCTCTCTGGCGCGCTCACGGTGCCTGATCTTGGGCGCTAGCTTGGGCACGAGCTTCTCCCCCAGACGGTCCTCCTCGGCGGCTATGCGTCGCATGCGGATGTTCACTTGCGTCAGGCGGGTCAGGCGCTGCTTGCACTTGTGCAGCATGAACTTGGGCCAGTAGATGAGCTTCTCGTCAATCTGCTCGAGCGCCTTATTGTAGTTGTTGGATAGCTTGATCTTCTCCCACATCTTGGACGGCAGGTGGGCACGCTCCACCGTCTTGATGTAGAGGTACAACGTCTGCTTGGTAGGGTGCTGGCGGACAGTTGCGTAGCGAGAGTTGGCGAGGGGGCACGACTGGCGATTGCACAGCCCAGTAACGTTGTACTCATTGCGGCAGAAGTTTTGGTTCTTCTCCGTTCTGTTGTGATTGTCAGCCTTTTGAACCTTTGCCATCACCGCGGGCAGGCCTCGTGTCAGCCAATTGGTGCTAGAAACCTACTTTAACTTGAATGCGCAGAACTGCTGGTTGATAATCTGCCAGATAATTTCGTCCGAAGCCATGGCGACTTCTGGTAGCTCCCGGAAAGAGGAGCAGGAAACTTCTCAATCTATTGTACTGTTGTTGAGTATGGGGGAGACAGGCTGGAAAGCAGATGTAAAAAAAAGTTCGGGACCAGGCAAGATGATTTTACAGTGGGGCTGGTTTTCCTAGCGGAAATCTCGAGTTTTTTTCCTGGGCGACGGGCTGTTCTCTATTACAGGGGTCCCTATTCGCCCAGGCTGCCAGGGGTCTGAGCTCAGATCCTCACCGCCTGCTGTTTTCACCACTGCCGGAATAAGTATTGTCCCGGCCGGGGCACCCAGCCGCAGCATGGTATCATGCGGCATTGGTGACGCTGCCTGTTGCGAGAGTGGGCGGCGAGGCCACAGCTCGCGAGCTTCTTCATCCTCCAGCACCAGCCTGACGCAACCATCGCCACCACCGACGGCTCTGCACCCAACGAACCGAACCGACGCCCTCCATTATCTCGCACACCTACATACTGCCGCCCTACCTTCTCTTGAGAAGCGTTCCTCCAGATCCCGCAGCACCTTCCCTTCGCGGGTGTATATCCGGTGTCAGACCAGCCGCCCATCATGCCAGCCGCCGGCCTCAAGACCATCATTGCCCTGTCCTTCGTCCTGGCAGTAGGCTTCCTCCTCGTCATCCTCTCCTGCGCCTTGTTCAAGGTGTACTACCCACTCCTCGTGGTCGGGACATACGTTATCGCCCCAATCCCCAACTGGGTCTGCAGCCGATGCGCGAATCCCGATGATTTCGTCGAGAGCTCCGGCGCCGCCGTCCTCGACCTCGGTCGCTTCTTCACAGGCTTCTTCGTCGTGATGGGAATGGGTATGTCCATCTCCTCGGGCGCATCGCGCCGATGCGCATAATTGCTAACCTTGCTTTTCCCAGCCCTGCCCATAGTCCTTGCGCACGCCGACCTCATCCGAGTCGAGGCCATGATCATGTCTATTGTCGGTGGCCTATTGATTTACGGAACCATCATCAGCTTCAGCATGTTCTTCCACGAGGAGCAGGAATTCTAAGCGCATTCTGAGACGGGAAGGATTGTATGCAGTCTTGACCAGGGGAGGAGGGGTGTGGATTTCGCCTGCGGAGGAAACAGATTATTCCGGCAAACACTGTGTGGCTAACACTTGTATCGACGCATTTTTGTACAGGCTACTGGAGGGAGTTTTATTTTCTATGGCTTGGAGCATTCAGCGCACTCAATTGATCATCTTGGGATATAAAAGGACCTGGGAACGGAGACACGTGCTCGCACGACGAGCTCAATTGTATCTCTCCCTAGGTTATGTGAAGGACATTTGCATCATGGATATTGTATTCCGTTACTTGAAATTGCCTGTAATTCCTGCCCTCTTCCCTCGCATTGCGCTATCCCTCTAATGCTGTTGAAAATCCCAACCCAAAAAAAAAACTCCAGATATGCATACGTTGAAGTATCATGCTGTTCTATAACCCGTCCGCCCGCCCCGTAACCGTTTCCTCTATTCCATTGCTTTCCAAATACCCAGCGGCCCCGAGAGCTTGGTCACCATCTCGTCATGCTCCCCCTCGGGCGTGCTCAGGATGGTGACGGCGCCGCCGGCGCCGATGTGCCACACCTCCCTCTTCTCCGTCTCGCCCTCGGCCGGTGGCGCCAGCTCGTCGTCCCACCTGAACATGGCCCTGATCGTGACGCTCCAGTCCCCCTTGCCGGCCGCGTCCATGTAGCCGACAACACCAGAGTACAGGCTGCGCTCGATGCCCTTTTCGAGGCCGTACAGGATCTCGCAGCTCCGCTTCTTCGGCGCGCCGGTCATGCTGCCCGGGGGGAGCACGGAGGAGAGGACGTCCAGTCCGTTGAATTCGGACTTTCGCCGTGGGTGCTTGGCCTCGCGCCCGGCATTGAGCTGACCCTGGACGTTGGTGACCATCTGGAAGACAGTGGCGTACTCCTCCACCTTGAGCAGCTCGGGGACCGTGACCTTGCCTGCCCCGCAGATGCCGTGGAGGTCGTGGCGGACCAGGTCGACAATCATCAGGTTTTCTGCCTCCTCCTTCGGGATGTGGAGGATCTCCTCGGCCTGGGATAGCGTCGACACCTGGTCAGATTTGCGCACCGTCCCTTTCATTGGGCGCATGGCGCACAATCCCTCCGAGGTATGCTGCAGGAACCGTTCCGGGGAGCTGCTGATCAGGGTCGCGCCGCCAAGTTTGACAAACGATCCGAAGGGCGCCGGCTGGCGAGATCGAAGCCGCTTGAAAATGTCCCATGGCGTGGCACGGTTCAAGATGGCGCCCTTGGTGTTGACGTGAGGCGGCACGTCATCGCCCCGAGCGCGGGTGATGAATGTTTGATCTGTCAGGCAGAGCTCGTACGAGTTCCCCTCCTTGATAGAGTCCTGGCACCTACGGACTTTGTCCTGGTAGGTTGCGGCGTTTGGCAGCTGGTACTGGAAGACCTCTCCTGGGCACTGTTGCCACTGGTCAACCCCATTTCTGTGCGCCGGGTTATACACCCCTTGGTTGGTCATGCAGGCCGCGTCGCGCAACTTATCAGCCACCACTTTGCAGTACTCTTGGCCAGCGCTCGGATCGCTGCCAATGGTCTGGATGTATGCCGTGTTTGCTCGATGATCGAGCACGACGCTCCTTGTCACCCATGCAAGGCAGATATCAGGCCGGCGGTGGCCCCTCTCCGTAGGGAGGACCCCGGGAGAGAGGGCGTCTAGACCTGACTCATATGAGACGTATCCAATAAGCCCTCCCTTGAAGACATCGGGAAGGCCCGCCGGCAGATTTGAGACATCCAGTCTCCGCTCAGACCAGAACTTGGAGAAAACCTGCCACGGGCTAAACTCTCCGGGCGCGGAGTCTGGGTAGCCGATTCTTTCCTCTTGCGCCGAAAGACCCGACTGCTGGGACGGCGAAGAGAGAATGACAAACCTTTCGCCAGCTCGGTGTTTGAGGCGCGGCGCTTTGTCAGCCTCGAGTGCGATGATGCTGTAGAGGGCTAGAGGGTCGCCCTTGGAGGCACTCGATGAATCGAGAACGATGGTGTCGTCCTTGCCTTCGCCCAATGCTTCTGCCACTTCCACTGCCGTGAGGTCTTGTGGAATGTTCAATTTGACGAAGGAGTAGTGCTGAGGACCTGCGTGTGTGGTGTCGAAAAGTTCACATGAAGTCTGCCCATGCTGCCGGCTGAGCTTGTTGTACTGATCTGTGTGCGTTGGAGTTTCCACTTCGCCGGATTCCGATTCTGCGAGAGAGCGCAATGGACTCATCCTGGACATGGCATTCCATCTCTGGGCTTCGGCCCACCAGTTCCTCAGCACGTCGTGCGCTTCAGGATGGGTGCAGATAGACTCTGGGTGGTACTGCAGCCCCCAGAACGGTCTGCGAGCATGTTTGACCGCCATGAGAATGCGCCCATCCTCTCCTTCGTCCACATGCCCCCTCGACCAAGCCAACGGTATCAAATCCGGCGCGCCCGGGAAAGGTCTATACTGCTGCGACGCCCACTCAGACACAGGAACAGCATCCTGCCCGAGATCCGCACACAGACTATGATACAGCGTCGCTTTAAAGGGCCGCACCCCGCTAAAGATGTCCCGGCTCTCATAATCGATGTCCCTCACCATCCCGTGCAAGCCTCTCCTCAGCTTCCGAATCTCCCCGCCAAAGGTGCACACCAGGCTCTGGAACCCCAGGCAGACGCCCAGGACGGGCACCGCCTCGGCCTGCGCCAGCTCCCAGAGCGTCCTGAAGGCGCCCACGTCATCCGGGTTGAGCGGCGACCCGGGGCCCGGCCCGCAGACCACGGCGTCGAAGCCTCCGAGGCGGTCGACGAGCTCCTCCCGAGTCCACGACGGCCCCCGGTCAGGCGGGAACGGGGACAGGTCCATCCGCCGGACGCAGACCTGGACATTGAGGAGTTCTGTGAGGAGCGAGACGATGTTGTTGGTGAAGGAGTCGTAGGCATCTAGGAAGAGGATGCGGGACCGGCGAACATGTTGCGGGTCGCCATTCTCCATGACTTTCCCGTTTGCTCTATTTTTTATGGCTGCTAAGATCTTTGAGAAAGAAGAGGGAGTGGGTGAGCGGATGAGCTCTTAAGCGAAAGCAATTGCTCCCAGAGACTGTGAGAAGAAGAAGCCAAAAGGCGTTTGTGAACGAATGAATGAATGACTGAATCACTTCACACCCTCGAATTGATAATTTTCTGGGGCCGAGTGAAGGAAGGCGGGACTTTTTCGCGGCCGAACGACGAGATAGCCCCGGATTGCCGCGAAAAGCCGCTACTGACTAACAGCGTCTTGAACCGAACAATGCGGGAGAGGCGATGAGAAAATTCAACTCAACTAGGAGATAGTCATGGACTTAGTTGCCGGCTCGTCTGTGATTGGTCCAGAGGCTACTGACCTGCCACAATGAGTCAGGATACTTGTGATGAGCATGTCGCAGTGCGCGCTTTGCCTTGTCAAACAGATCTAGAATGTACCCATACAATTGAGCAGTCATCAGGTCGTGATTGAGTTTCGCGCTAATAAGCCGGGAGCCTCCACTGATTCAACCTCCAGCCCCATGAGGCGATATCGGGGTCATCGCCAACGCTAACACACAATCCCTCATCACTGATAGATTGATCAATCCGTTGTGTATGCTCGTGGTATTTCGTCTACTTCTACATATCATGTTCCACCTCGCTAGACACAGATAGCATCATATCCACATCATCATTTGGATCCGTTCCGCCCATCCATCAGTCAGTCCCTGTCCCTCACCAGTAAAATATACGGATGTCGTGAATGCCACACCCGCCGCTCCTTGGCTCCAAGCGCTGCGTCTAACATCTTTTGGGTATCGGATTTCTTTCGTTGCAACGCCTTTTCACCCTCCTCTTGAAGCACCACCACTTCCTCTGCTGTCGCTGAGAGCTCAAACTCGCCCCTGCACAGTGCTGTGACGCCAATGACAAAATCAACCGTCGAGTTGGCCTCGATTCTGGGCA